ATTTGAAAACTGAATAACATCGCCGTCGGGTGGTCTATAACAAGTAGAAACTACAACGTTTTTTGTATTTTTAATTATTACCTCAATTGTTAGGACCTCACTGTCTGAATTAGAGATCGAGAGGTCTTTTCTAATTTTGATATCGTGGTCATTACGAATGTAAACTAAAATTCCGCCTCCCCTTTTGAGCGTTTTTCTTTCAGATAAAATTATTTTATAATTAGGAATCTGAAAATTTAAATTTTTTTGAGCTGACTCATCATCACACCATGATTCTGTGAGACAAATCATGTTAAATAAAAAATTGGATTCTAAAAGAAAGTGTTTTAGTTTGTCTATATTTAAACTTAAACTTCTAATATTGATGTGTATCACCGTGAAATTTTTTATATATGTTTTTAATAGTGTTTTAAAAGTTTCAGTGTCATAGTATTGCAAATTAAAATCTCATTGCGCATGATTAAGAGCTTATTTTTATAAAATTGAGGTTAAGCATTTAACTTATTTCCGAAATTCTTGAACAAAAATTTTATCATACTCAGGTTGTTTAAGGCCAGTCTCGGGTTTACTTCGATTATCTGCGGGTGACGTGATAATTTGTCGTTCAGTTCTCGCGGGATGATTTTAAAACGTTATTTTACAATATAGCGGTGACTTCTAGACTTAATAACCCCGACAAGAAAGTTTTTTCATTAATTTTTCAAATATATATCATGAGTTTATAACATGCTATGAATTATCATATAATACAATGAATTCATAACAAACCATATTGTTTATTGTTCAAATCTTAAATAAGGATCGTCCATAAATTACGTAACACAAAATTTCAAAATAAACAAAACAAAAAAAGATCAGAAGTTTTCCCTTGCAGAGTATTAATTTAAATAAATAATCAAAATATAAAATTAAGTTAAATGAAAATCGCCGCGTAAAGGGCTTAATATCTCCTACTTCTGTTCTTGAAAAATTTTTTGCGTAATTTATGGACGATCCCATATTACGAATTATTAACCTACCCGACAAATTAATTCTGTTGTTACAACCCATCAAAAAGCCATTAAATACAAATCGTTAAGTATTAATGAATTCCAGACATTTAAGAGTTTTTCGTTGTAAGTAATGACAAAATGTCGGATTTTCTGCCTGACCTTCTAGATAAAATTATGGATTAATGGTAGAATACAATATCAATGTCGTTTAGGTCGCATATAACTAGAAAAGTTGTTACTAACAATTTAATTGCTTATTTTATCATATCTTAATCTTTTAGTAAAAGGACAATTTAAGTCAACCTCCATATTGTCGTCAATAATAATTTTTTTAACTTTGCACAACTTTTGCTAAGTATTATTCAGTTAAGACAACAACTTTTCAAAAAAAAAATTATTTAAAAAAAACGTCTAGAAGGTAAGTCGAACTAGCTTAAAAATTTGGACTGGCCTTAAACAACCTGAGTATTTGATAATTGCAAATTTACCTTAGTATTTGTTAATTGATAATTGCAATTTGATAATTTGATAATTGCAAATTTACCTTAGTATTTGATAATTAACCTTCCCAGTGGGCACACGACGTTATTTTGACGTTGATTTACAGTTGATTTTTAGTCGCGACGTCGTATAACGACGTCGTATAACGACGTTGTATTAACGTCGAAAAATTTGTTTAAAACTATCAAATAAAATCGACGTTGATTCCACGTTAATTCAACGTCTATATTACGAATTCGATCGTTCGTAATTGCAATATGAGAACTAAAATACGCATGCGTGACTTAAAATTTTTTTATCAACATAACAAATAACAAGTAAAGACTCAACAAGTTACTTATTAGCCCAATAAAAACAAGTAAAATCACACATGCTTATAAATTAGGTCATCTGTTGCCTTTTTATAAGGTTTTGAATTTGACAATTTAACAATAATACATGGCTTTACTTGTGATGCAGTTAGTTAGGTAAATATTAAATGGATATTTCTTTATGACCGTATTATTTCATGAGTGTGGATTTCAAGTAGAGACTACTTGATATATTATATAAATATAAAATATATATTATATATGTTTTTCTTATTTATATAATATATATATATATATATATATATATATATATATATATATATATATATACATATATAATATGCATATATAATATATACATACACTACATATATATATATATGTATATATGTATATATATATATATAGGTATATATATATATAGGTATATATATATATATAGGTATATATGTATATATATATATATAGGTATATATATATATATATAGGTATATATGTATATATACATACATAATATAAATATATATAATGGATGATGTTTTACAAAATAATGATTTATCAAGCTTTTTTACCAATCCATGTGATTTAAAGAGTTTGAATATTTTTTATATTAAAAAATTTTTATTAAATTTTTAAAGATTTTTCTTGTAAAGTTGTATAAAAAAGAATTTGTGCATGCTCCTTTAGTCCATGATGTTGGTTGGTAGAAGGATCAACATAAAAATTTAGCAAATTTTAGCAACTGTATAATGTATCATAATGTGCAGTTTAAAGTTGTATTTTTCTGTTAGCTATTTTACATGAACAAATTTTTAATATATAAGTATTTTTTTTTATTATATTTTCTACTATACTTTTCCAGTTGAAAAAGTATTGTAGGGCATGCAAAATGTTCATTCGAGCTGTTTGGATAGAAAATACAGAGAAATAAAGAGAAAAAATTCGATTGATAATTTTTTGTGCTGGCCATCATTAAATGTAATAAATTGTTTCAATGAAATGCATAAACCGCATCTAACTAATACAGATTTACGCTGCTCAAAATTAAATGTCATGGAGATAATGTAATTTTTTTTTAATATAAACCTTAAGTCATTACTTTTTTTTCTTGTTTTTTTAACATGCTTTCATTCTGTATATGTTGTTTTCAGTGTTTAGATATATTCTTTATTATATATTCTTTATTATATAATGTATTTAAAACATTTTTAAATTGAATGAATATTCTTAGATCATGAGTTATGTAATAAATTTGAATTTGCCTCTACTAGTGATACACAGATAGAATCAGGTTCAGAAAACGGTAACTATTTCAAAAGATGCTTTATTCAAGTATTATTTGTTATATTTTGATATTAATTTTTATAGGAGCCACTACCATGCTTATGCAAGAGAAAACATAATAACCAACAGAATAGTAAGCAAATATTTACTCCTGTAACGCAAAAAAAAGAAATAAAAAACAATTTTTATGCATACTCCACATACTGTAGCTCAAGGTATTAATTGTCTGTCTGCAAGTTGATTTAGGAAGAAAAGATTCTAAACATTTTTTTCTATGCTTCAGTGATTTACACATTTCTTTGGTTGCTAAATTAATACATTTTATTTAATTTATGAATAATGTTTTATTTTATAAATTTTTTGTTCTTGTGTTTCAACGCTTTTAGAAATTAATTAATGTTTGGTTCTTTTGTCTTTCTGATATATCTTTATTGTTAGAAAGAGATGTTAGTAAAAACTCTTTCCAGTAATTAAAGTAATATCATGACAAATAGTTCTGAAATTCTATGGATGAACTTGCAGCAGTAATTTAATGATCATGATAACAGTTTAAATGATTCTTGGTTGAGGTCAGAAGTAATGAGTTGTTTCAAACCATGACTTTTTGCAGTTTTTTTTATTGTTTTTTGATTAAGTATTTATTAATAACTTAACCTAAGTTAATCTACTTGTAACTTTTTATAAATGTACTTTAAAAATAATGTGGTGTAATTATTTTCTTAAACCTTTAGGTTAACAAACTTTCTAAAGTTGGAGGTAAAACCATTAAGACAAATACAAATAAATGTGATGCAAAGGTTTGTTAAAAGTAGTTTTAAATAAAAAATCTTTTGAATCTTTTTATTATAGTTTGTTTTAAACTTGAGTTAAAAATCTGTGTAGCATATATTTTTAAAAGTTTGACAAATACTAATCAGACATAAAATAAATCTTTTTTTTTATGTCTGATTATAATTTTTTTTGTAACTGTTTACTCTTACTTTTGTATTTCCTTGAGCTAAAGAACAACCTTAAAGTACAAAGGTTGATTTGTAACGCATACTTAACCTTTTTTTTTTACTCTATATATACATACATATATATGTACATAAATAAACATACATATATATGTATGTATATATACATACATATGCTTATATGAATATATATATATATATACATATATATATATATATATATATATATATATATATATATATATATATATATATATATATATATATATATATATATATTATATATATATATATATATATATATATATATAATAATGGTGCAATTTAAAGTTTTTTCTTTTATTTATAAAGTTGTACTTGATAAAAATAAATAAATAAAGTTGGACATTTTGAATATTTATTGATTATTATGATAAATTATATAAAATATATATAAAGTATAAATATTTTGCAAAAACACTTTTATTTGCAATAACTGCTTCATTGCATTGTGGCATGCTTGCAATTTATTTTTTATAGTTTTTGTCAACTCTGGGTTATTATGCCAGATCTTGATAATCTCTTCCATAAGATCTTGCTTATTAGTAAGATTTTTTTTTTCAATCTTTTGCTTTACTATTTCCCAAATGTTTTCTATGGGGTTAAGATCATGCGAATTGTCTGGCCATAGCAATACATCAACTAAGCCATAACAGTTTTTATTGTGTGGCATGTTGCACCATCTTGCATAAATATAAGATTTTTGACATTATTTTTAATATTTTTGAATTTTTTTGTCACTTTTTAACTTTTTTGGCTGGACATCAGTCCCTCTTCTTTTAGCCTTCTACAAATGGTCCGGTCTGACACAACAACAACAATTACAGCTTCATGGGTAAGCTTAGTGGCTTTTTTTCTGTTTTACAGGCAGATATTTCTGATTATACTGTCCGCTCTTGGTGTTTTCTTGCGTTTAGAAGGTGGTCTCCTTGGACCAAACTCTTTCCCTGTATCAATTCTTTTTCTTACTTGCATTACGGTTAGGTAAGAAACCTTTGCGGTTTGTGCAATTTTTCATTGAGAATAATTTGAGAGGCTTTATTTAGCAGAAGTTATAGAAGTTTTTGGTATAGTTTACAAAATTAAGTATTATAAGAAATCAGGAGACATTTGTAATAAATTTATGAGACGATGACGATTTTACCATTCTACAGAATTTAAATATACATTATTTCTTCTAAGGCTTGTTTCTAATAATAAAAATTAATTTTTAGTTTAACAGGTGTTTCGTTTTTTTTATATTTAGTGTATGACAGCATGCGACCTTAATCAAACTTTTAACCTGACAAAGTGTCTCATAACTTGTAAAGTATGTTGAACTTTTTGTTTAAAAATAAAGTTTTTTTATTAGCTTTTTTCAGAACTTTTTATTGATTAATTTCTCTACTTTGTGTAAAAATTTCTTTATAAAGTCTTTATGATATTTGAAAAAAAAACTTTTATAGCAATTTTTGTAGGAGTCTTCAGAACTTTTATAAAAATATTATTATTTTTATAAAATTTTTTTCAAAGGTACATAAAAATTAAAGGAATTTTTTCGTCATTAAATTCTATTTTAGAATTATAATTTGTGTGAACCTGGTTGTTTATTCTACAGTCATATTAAAGAAAATGACACTGGTAAATATAAAAAGTTTGATATTATTTTTACTTAGTTTTAGCAATTTTTAATATAACTGTAATAATAATAACAATGTATAATGCAGGTTGTTGACCAACGGTTTATAATCAAAATTTAATATGGCTGGCGGTAAAGGTAAAGAGAAGTTTAAAGGAACAAACATTAGGTATTTACTTGTAAGTTAAGTGTAAAATTATATATTTTTTAAAAATCACAGTTCGTTTTTTTAATGCTATTTTATTTTTAACTTTTTGATGTATTTGATGCAAATTACTCAGGCAATACCTTTTTTTATAGAGAGCGTTTTGTCAATTAAAGTGACTGCTACAGTTACCGAAATAAGAAAAGGAATAATGGCTTTATTAAAATACGCACTCAACAGATCAAATGGTGGTGATCGGCGCATAAAAGGCAATTCACCCGATGTATAACATTCATACTTTTTCCTAGTTGTTCTGGAACTATTGATAATAGTTATTATTGATAAATTGATAAATATATTACTGATAAATAAAACTTTTTTTTTTCAAACATTTAACTTTATTTGCATTGTATATAAAGTCAGTTGAAGCAATTTAGTTGTATCTGATTAATTTACGTGAAATATAATATCCTCTGCGTAAATTATTGCTTTTTTATTGTATTATTTTATTGTAAATAAAGTTGAGATAATTTTTTAGTTAATTGGATTTAACCAAAATAAAAAACAAAAATCAACGTTGAATTTACGTTGTTTCAACGTTGTTCTAACGTCTTATCAACTACGTATCAATCGAATATATCACCTATTCAAAGTTGAAATATGGTTGATATATAGTCGATAAGACGTTAGATCAACGTTGAAACGACGTAATCATCGACGTTGTTTCAACGTCGGATTTTATTTCCAATTCAACCAAATTTCAACGTTGTTTCAACGTGGTATATGGTCGGTTTGCGACGTTATTTCAACATCATTGTGCCTGCTGGGTATTTGTGTTTTTTGCCGACTAAAGCCAAAAAAAAAATTTTGATCGCTAAAAAAAAAAAATGGTCCTCGTTTTCCGATATTTGCCGACTGCCAACTATAGATCCAATTTTGCCAACTCCAGTTCAAATTTTCCTACCGAAAAAATTCGTAGGAAAGCTAGACACCCTACGCCCCCCTCTCCTCGGGACGACCCTGCTTATAAAACTCCCCATCCTTTTTGTTAAATATAATAATTTTTTTGTAATTTTTTTAAATGTTTATTTTTTTAATTTATCTCAAGAAAAATATGTTTTTTGTTTCTTAAGTAAATATCTATATTTTTTTATTTTTGGATTTATTGTTTCAAATGGATATATTGATCATTTTTGCATTGTTTTTATATTTTTGTTGCTTTTTATATATATGAATAGAAACCATTTATTCTTAAAATCGTATTTTTTACTCGAAGTTTCCATTTGCATTAAGTATCGATAAGCACAAACAACATGTTTAATAACTTCGGATGTAAAAACAACTTAATTGAATGAATTTGTTAACAGTTTTGCTTTTTACAGCAACGTTTTTATATAAAAGAATCAAACGGATAAAGCTAACTTATTTAAAATAACAAATCTCTTAGGCCCGTTTTCTAATTTCCAAATTTGTTTTTTAAATAAATCTTGATAAGAAGGTAAAATCTTGATTATAGCTTAAGTTTTCAAAAACACCTGAAGAATTGTTACGCAACTGTCTCTATTATGTTAAAGATCCTTTTATGTATAAAATTAATTAAGTAAATAAGTACAGTTTGTAAAGTATATTAAGTCAATTCTTAACCAAAAACTTTAAATCGACTAATTTTTTGCTGTTTACTGAAGGTATAGAGACCTAACTAAGAACAAGTTTGGAAATAGCCGGATGTGGAATAGAGTTGCCGCGACCCGTATCGTACCGGTCACCACAGCTAATTCCGCAATTAAAACAGTATAGTTGTTAATATATTTCAACAATTATATAAATTTTTTATGACTATATTAATAACTTAAGAGTTTTTTTACAGAAACCCAGTGGGCACCGGACCTAAAAAAGACGTGTACAAGACGTTTTAAACGTCTTTTTTACGTCCGTGCCCACTGGGAAGGCTTTTATATAAAATATTAAACAGATAAAGCTAACTTATTTGAAATAACTAGGTCTCTTAAGTCCATTTTTCAATGTCCAAAGTTGCTTTTTAAATAAATCTTTATGAGAGAGTTAAAATATTATCATAGCCTAAGTTTCACGCAACAGTGTTAAATGTTAAAGATACTTTTATTATGTAGAAAATATTAAAGTAAACAATAATAATGTAATAAGTAAAAATACTAATTAGTTTTAAAGAACAGTAAATTAGTAATCAAGAAATGTAGGTACTCAGTAAAATGCAAACTGTGTACTTTTTAGCGAACCAAATCATTTTAATGACCACAACAGTCATGATATTAAAAACATATCCTCATCGATTTTTTAAATTAAATATATTGGTATTCGATATATTTTATTTAAATTAGACTTTTCTTTTAAATTAATTATAACTTAACGAGTAATTAAAGTTCGATTTAATTTTCTTAAGAGTTCGCATTTTACCATCTGGTAAATGGTCAAATGCGAACTTTAATTGTAATTGCAATTAAAATTCGTATTTTACCATCTACCAGAACTTTAAATTGATTTATTTTTTGCCGCCCAGCAAACATGTCAGCGTTGAAAACCGGTCGCAAAAGGTGTTGCGGAAACGTTGACAAAGTAATCGGTTTTGCAAAGATATGTCACGTTGTTAAAGAGACGTTGATTAAACGTTGTAGCGTTACGTTGAAAAAACGTTACAAAAATGTCTCAACTAAACGTTGAAAAAGCGTTACTTAAAAAGCGTTGCATAGGCGTCGCAACTTAACGTTGAAAAAACGTTACTTGAAAAGCGTTACTTTAACGTTGTTAAAGCAGTCGATTTTGCAAGGATTTGTAACGTTGGTAGTAAAACGTCGATTTAACGTGACGCAAAGACGTCGAGTAAAGGTTGAAGTATAACGTTAAATCAACGCTCAAATGTGCTGGAGAAAATATCGCAAAATATTATTAAACGTGATTAAACTTGGTTATAATGTATATTGAATTTGCAAATAAAACAAAATTGTATGTTGAACTCTGCACTTGCAATATTTCCAAATTCGTTTTTTAATACAAATAGTAATATTCAATGAAAAACATAAAAAATATACAATTTATTTATATAAAATTTACAATTTATAGATAAAAATATAAACATCTTTTTTAAGATTTATGTGTGTGAGTGAATTTACAGGATTTACGTGTGTGAGTAAAATTTATGTGTGTGAGTGGATTTACAGGATATCGTATCGATAAGCCAGGATATCATTGAGATACAGAATCTAAATCAAAAAATAAAACTTCAAAAAATAAAATCATTTTCAATCTGAAAGCAAATGTTTAAAAAATGTTATTGAATTAGTATGATTATTATTAAATTTAAAAAGTAAAAATAAATATATATATATATATATATATATATATATATATATATATATATATATATATATATATATATATATATATATAAATTATGTGTACATATATATATATATATATATATATATATATATATATATATATATATATATATATATATATATATATATATATATATATATATATATATATATATATATATATATTGTGATAGTCGTAATAGCATAAAATAAGTAATTGTTCTTAAAAATAACACGACGTTTTTTATTCTTGAAATGTTTTGTAGTAAACAACTGGGGTTGATATTTGACTAGGGTCGGAGCCGGGTTTGATAAAATATAGCCGGGGCCAGGGCCGGGTTTGAGACAAGGCTGCATAAACATTTATACATCCTAAAGTATATTTTTTAAATTTAAAATTCATGCTATATTTTGTATATATATGCATATATGAACATCATTGTGATCAACATGATCATTATAATCATCATAACCACCATCATCATCATCATCATCATCATCATCATCATCATCATCATCATCATCATCATAATCATCATGATCATCATTATCATCAACAGCATAAAAGCGGAAAGCTTGACAATGATAATAAAAATTATGTTGATGTTGTTGATCGTCATCATGATAATCATCATCATCTTTATTATGGCACAATGTAAGGCACACTCTTCATATTTTCTTACTTCTACCACAACCATTTTATACTGAAGCTGCTACCACTACATGTTAATACCTGAATTACTTTAACTTTTTCAAAAAAAAAGGTTGTTTGATACAACGTTTTTTCTAATCTGACTAAGATTATGCCTACTTTTTATATCTTGTTAGAGTCACACCACACATCCATCTGATCATTTTCTCTTTTGGCAAATACTACACTATATAAATATATTGTATGGATATTGTATGCCAGCATCTAAACAAATAGCAAACAAATATGCTTATATCCATAATATGTGTGCAAAAAGTGCATCTTGGAAACTTATATTGCTTCTGGAATAAAAGTTTGCTTTTATTACTTCTCTTCAGTTTTAAATCAAGCCTCATTCTACTCTATATCTTTTAACATTAACTACGTTTTTCAGCTTTTTTATAAGAACATCTCTCTTAAGAAAAAATTGTCCTTTTTATTATTGCAATAATAGAATGTATAAATAAAGTCTTGTCTGATGTAAATCTCTGTTATTCTCAGTTTACTAAACCTTTTATCTTATCTTAGATGTTGATTCTAGAGACTTTTGGTTAGTTTTCAACAGTGTTATTAACTAAAGTGTCTTATGGATTTAAATTACGACTTAAAATCCACAATTTTTGTTAGACAACAAAATTCATTTATTTACTACAAAAAAATATTGCAATATTGTTGGTATTCCTATATTGACAAATAAAAACCCTATAATTATTATAACATATTATATAATAATAATAACAATAATATATACATATATATATACATATATATATATATATATGTATATATATATATATATATATATATATATATATATATATATATATATATATATATATATATATATATATATATATATATATATGTATACATATATATATATATGTATACATATATATATATATGTATATATATATATATATATATATATATATATATATATATATATATATATATATATATATATATATATATATATATATATATATATATATATATATATATATATATATATGTATATATATATATATATATATATGTATATATATATAAATTTTGCAACTATAAATAGTCATGTGTCCATACATTAATTAACTAAATAAAACTTACTTCAATAGGTATAACTATAAATCATCAATATGATTTAAATATTATGTACTTCGTTCATAAGATGCAAACCAGTTAAAACCAAATCATTCCTCGATCTTTGATCAACCAGAACTAAGCTTTTTCTCAGTATCAAAAGTTATATTTGGGGAGAATTTCTTAGCCAAGTAAAAACTTAACCGTTGCTATGGAGGTTGTCAAGGGCGCTTAAAAAAGTAAGGTTCAGTAAAGTTTGCTTTTCTCAAGTTATATACTGAATTTTAAAAAATGGTTTTTAGAATATCGTTCTCTGATAAATTTTAAATATAATAAAACAACAAATATTTTTTCAAAAAATTTGATTTTTCATAGGGGTTTCACCTTTTTTCCACCTTAATTTATTTAATTTAGTTTTTAATTTTTGTTTATGTTTTTTTCTTTTTTCTTTTTCTTTTCTTCGCTCTCTTTATTTTTATTTATTTATTTTTCTTATTTTGTTCTTTTTTCTTTTTCTTTCTACTTTTTTTTTTAATTTATTTACAAAATTCGTTATTTCATTCCGGAAGTCTCTACACTGTCTAACGTTCGAGGTTTGATGTCGACTCGAGTTCAATAAGTGATAATGGTAAAAAAATAGACATGAACTTCCTGGTTAAACGATCTTCTCCGGTCCGTCATGACCAATAGATCATAAAAGTTGTTCATTAGACGGAATAGAATACCCAAAATTACCGTAACTCTTGTATTTTAAAACTCTATGAAAAAAATATATGAGCAACTTTTAATTATAAATACTGATAATAAACACACTACCCAAAGTTTTCTCCGATCTCCCTTAACTTAAATGTAAAGAAAATTTCCCCCTATCTCTCTCAATTTAAATGTAAAGAAAATTAGTTAATAAGACATTTGATACTGCTGTTTTATACTAAATTCAAATTCATCAACAAGTTTTAAATTTCTTATAATGATATTTAAATGTTTGAAAGTTATGACTTGCCAAAGTTTTTACCCCTCCCCAAAATGTTGATTTTAACTATGATATTACAACTTGACAGCAGAATTACTTGTTTTGAACATTGATCAGGTCAAAATATTTTTGTCAAGAAATGTAATGTCCAACAGCAAAATTGCACAATTTTATCAAAATTTAAGTATTAAAGCCCTTGCGATTGTGCAAATAAAACACCCTTCCATGGGGGGATGTAAATCTTAAATGGTCATCACTTTTAAATGCAAATAAATACTTTGATAAACAAGTAGCGTAAGCTAATAACAAGCGTAAAGTTTTTATACTTACAGCTTGCCGAATTCCTATTTAACCATCAAAGGAAGTAAAATCAAAAAGGTTAATTAACTCTTCCAAAGTTTTATAGCGAAGAAAATAACTTAAAAAAAAAAACACATTGGCTTTAATTACATATTTCTTTGATGAAATCTCTTTTAATGACATCTATGTTGTTATAGTGAGATAAGATTTTATTTGTCTTGGTTATAGAGCAGATTTTCAAAAACTTAATTATC